CACTGTTACTGTGAGCCTCAGCGATCAACTCCAGTCTTAAAATCTGGCACCCAACTCATGTTTGAGACTGTTTCTATATTTTGTTCTGCTCCTTCATCCTTTCAGAATGCCAGTGACAGTGCCCAGAAAAAAAAAAAAGCCATTAGCTACATGTGGCTAAGAACACTCAAAAGGTAGCTAGTAAAAATAAAGAACTAATTTTAAAATTTTGTTTACTTGCAACTATTTTAAAAACTAAAAATTGCAACACATGGCGATGCACACTTTTAATCCAAGCACTTAGGAAGCAGAGGCAGGCAGATCTCTGAGTTTAAGGACAGCCTCATCCAGAGTGAGTTCCAGGACAGCAGGGGGCTACACAGAGGAACCTTGTTGTAGTGAGATATCCACCAGCCTGCACATGTTGCATTGACCATGCCCACTGGCATGGGCACAGGTTCCAACATGACCTATGGCAGGCTAGGTCTGGGGTCTCGAACCCCAGCTCCCTGTCTTGCTTCCTGGTCTAGTTTCAGAGAGCATCCAGGTGGAATGCTTGGAATGGGAACCAGAGGCAGTCATCTGTTTCAGGTTTAAGTGATTTCTCCCCAAAAAAAAAACATCAATCAACCTATACCTTGTCCAAGTGAATCTTATTTCCCACAATAGGAACATTACATCAAAGTGATAGTAGGATGAAGATAATGCCAGGGAAATATACAGATGCCACTAAGTGGTAATTGGAAACAAAGATGAATTTATTTGCCTGTCTGAAAAGAAAGAACACATCTCTCAAGCAAAACATTCTGCTTTTTGTACCTGAATGGACCGGTTACAAAGCAAAGGGAGGAAGGACAGGAAAACTGCTCACTGGGCCAGTTCACTTCTTCCACGTGCAGACTCCACTCCTAGCGATGTCCGGGATGCTCCAGTCAGCTCACTGTCACTCTGGTGGCCAATGGGAACAGCTTGCTCGAAGGAGGCTGTATCTTTGGCAAAGAGCACCAGCAGGACCTCAGGTTTATGCCAGTGACGATCACGGTTACTGTCCCTTTGCTAATCTCTTTCAGAACTAACAGGCAGTTTCCACTTTTTAGGGCAAAAGACAAATAAACATACATGTGCACTTACAGAGGCAAATTTCATGTAGGCAGTTTATCCTTAAAAGTTACAAAAGAACAAAACATAAGTAATAAAAGAACACCTGTACATGAATGATGGCAGCACCATGACCCACAATAGCCAAAGTGGAAACAGCCTGAGCGTGAATAAACTGATCAGGCCATACACAGGCAAGGGATATGACTGTGCCGAAGAGGCTTCAAGTGCTGGTACAGAGTACATGATGAATAAACATCAAACACATGCCAGGCAAAAGGGCAGACCCCAAATGTACAAAGTTGTACAAAACACTGTATAATTCATCTAACATAAACATGGAGAACAATTACATCCATAGGGCCACAGAGCAAATCTGTGGTTGCCAGTGGCTGGGGGCAGGGGAAGGAGGCCTTCCCCCTTAATGCTTAATAGGTTCAGGACTTCTTTTCAAGTGCTGAGCATGTTTTGGGAACAGACAGGGGCTGGCCACACAGCACTGCCAGTGTCATAAGTGCTAAGGTATTTTTGGTAACATAAATGTTACTTTGGCACCGGTAAACGTGTGTCACAGAACTGATTACACCCCCTCGACTCTTCTATTTAGGTTGTGAGCCTAGCCTTTAACGGCTGAGCCATCTCTCCAGCCCAACACAGCTCCACTCTCTGAAGGGAGTAAGTGAAAAAGGACAGGGCAGTTGAGTCCATTGAAACAAGGGACCCTGAAATGATCTGCTCTGGCAGAGAGTGCTGAACAGAGGAGGAGGACAGCCCACTTAACAGCCTCAGAGGGCTGTGAGCACTGGGGAAGCAGACCAGAAAAAACCGAGTTTTTGAGTGCTCATTTCCTTCGTGCAAGTAAGTTAGCATGTTCTAAAACACGTGAATGGCCTCACAAGGAGAGCCACAGTAAGCCATTCCAGATCGCCTCTTCCAGGCCAGGGGCAGGGTCTGGAGGAGAGCTGGGGTCTGTCTGTCAGAACACTGTCAGTGCAGGGAAGCCTTCCAAGGGGCTGGGACGGTCACTAACAAATCTGCCACCGACTCCCTTGCACAGGAGTGCATGTCTAGGCTGTGCTCAATTTCAACGTGACAACCTTCCTTTGTTCTGGTCTCCTTTGGTATCAGTTTTGCAAAGAGTACTTGCAGCGATCGCATTGCAGATGCTGCGCACAGGCCTTTTAAACTAAGAAATACTAAGTTCTCCTGAGAGAGACTTCTCCTGGTTCTACAAGCCAAATTCCTTACATATTCAATGCAGGAAATGATCTTTACAAAGCACTGGCCTTCGGCCTTCTGTCACAAGGCACAACATGCACGCACCTTGGGGACATCGTGCCAAGTGAAAAAGGCAGCCTGATATAATAGGCATAGGCACCTTGTGTTTCCTTGCATGTGAGGTCCTGTGAGCTATCAGACTCCTGGAAACATAAGCAGATGGGTTGCTACAGGGGTCAGGGACAGGAAATGAGGGATTTTGATGGTTAACAGGTACAGAGTTTCAATCCTGAAAAAATTAAGACGTTCTAGAACTATGTTGCAGGGCATTGGGATTGTACTTACTAATACTGAGCCATGTCCTGAAAACTGTGAAAACAGGCTGAGTGGTGGCTGTACACACCTTAAATCCCAGCCCTCCGAAGGCAGAGGCAGAGGCAGGAAGATTTCCATGAGTTTGAGACCGGCGTGGTCTACAGATTGAGTTCTAGAGCAGCTAAAGCTACACAGAGAAATCCTGTCTCAGGTGGGAAAAAAGAAAAAAAAAAGTCATTGAGGATAATACATTACTCCTTCCAAAAAATAATTTTTTGTTAAAACTTATAAAATGTGCTTTTAATCACCATTTATAAATCAATCTCTAAGTTATCGCTGTTATGAAAGTATATTTTTGCTATTTTAATAATGAAATGACAATCTGTAAGACTCTAAAACTAACCTATTTTAGATGTAGATGTGCATCAGGACACTACAATAAACATGTCTCTATCAACAACAAAAAGAATAACAAGTAAAATAGCACCAGTTTAAAAAAAATTCATTCTTGTGTTCTATGTAAAATTCTAGTATTGAGCTTTTTTGTTTTTAAACTGTAAAACATCAGTACATTAAAAACACCAAAATCAAAATAAAAACAGAATTGATTTAGCTCAATGCTGGTGCATTTTTTGAGAGAGGGAGACTAAGACTTTGGGGTGGTTGGTGGACCTCCCTTCCCTGTATCTGTGGGCTGGTCACCTGTGTTTCCCTGATGACTCTGCTGACTGACTGCTCTGGACACAGCCACTATACGTGGCACAACTCTCACCTGAACATTCTGGCCCTGAGCCTGCAGCTGTTCTACCCCGGCTGCAGGGTTCTGCATGCTCTGTGAAGGAAGGGTCTGCGCAGGACTCTGGGTAGAGCCTACCTGACACACTACAGTTGCCTGGGACTGGTGAACTCTCCTGGCCTCAGCAATGTTAAAGAGACCAGTTTGCTGAGTTGGCACTACCCATTGCTGAAAGCTAGCCCTCTGGTTGTACTGGTAAGGTGGTGGCATTGGCTGTGGAGGGATAGGAGCCCTAGGTGGCTGATGCTGTTTTGAAATTAACACATACAAAGACTCTGGCTGCTGGGGCCGCTGCAGCTCTGGCTGTGGATACAGCCGTGGCTGTGCATACAGCCGTGGCTGGGCATACAGCCGTGGCTGGGCATACAGCCGTGGCTGTGGATACAGCCGTAGCTGTGGATACAGCCGTGGCTGTGGCTGTGGCTGTGGCTGCTGCTGTGGCTGTGGCTGCTGCTGTGGCTGCTGCTGTGGCAGCTGTGGCTGCAAGAATGGCTGTGGCCGCTGTGATTGTGACTCTGGGTGCAAAATGACAGAGCCAGGTGAAAGCCTGACAGTTACAGGGCCTGAAGTATTTTTTACAATTACTTTCACAGATGTCTGCACAGAGCGCTGTGGTGCTCTGGTCTGGGTACTGGGCATCTGACCTGTAGGAGGCAGAAAGCCTCTGGAAGAGGTTTCTTTAGATGCCGGGGCACTAGTGGGGAAGCTCTGCACCTGGGTCAGAATACTCTTCAAGGCAGGGGCTCCCTGTGCTAGGCCAAAAACATTGAGGACGTTTTGGCCAATGCCACTGCTGGTGTCATGGGTGGCTGGACGGCTCTCTGATGAGCTGGCAGAGGGCTGGACACCTGGAGGAAGGGTGTTAGCACCACTCATTCCCCAGAAGGTTTGCTGAGCCAGGCTGGCTGATTTGGAAGTGGGAGAAAGTCTCAAAAGCTTCCTACCTCTGACTAGTATTGAGGGAGGACTGATTGCTGAAGAGCTCTGTCCTGAGGTGGAGGGCAGTGTAAACAGTGGAGCTGGGGTCTTAACTCTCATTTCTGAGGCTGGAGATGTTACTGAATGGGATTTAGCATTCCTCGCTGGGGAGGGCTGGACAGGACAGATGAAGCTAGTAGATCCCTGAAGCTTTTTGCCTAGACACTCAGCCTGGCTTGGGACAGACCCTTGGCACACACCCATTGCCTTCCCAGACTCAATCTTTTCCCCAGCTATAGAACCAAGTGAACAAGCACTTGGGGCAACTTGAGGAAGACACAGCTGGCTATCACATGGGCCCTCTAGTGATGGTTCTATTTCAGAAGACAAAAATGGGTCACTAAGGGACTGCGTCACATTTGGCTTTGTTATCCATGGCTGACTGACCTCTTCACAATCACATACATAACCATATTTTACCTCAGGATCTGGCCAGGCTGTTGATGCTGAGTCATCATAGGGCACAGATCGCTTCCCTTTAGCATATTTCTGCACGTCTACCTGTGAGGGGGCCACCAGTTCACAGGGTCTCTGCTTCCACGTGTCTACACACTTTCCTGCTTCAGCAATCTTCAGATCATATGGGTCACCTTGTTTTATTTCTGCTCGTTTTCTACAAGCAATCATTGTTGTAACATCAGGAGGAGTTGTACATACAGACTTTTCTTCCTCCAGTTCTATACAGGGCCAGTCATTCCTCTTGAAGCATTCCCTCATGGGGTCAGCATTCATCTTCTGCTCATTAAACAGCAGTTTGTTGCCAGTGGAGGTAACAGCAACAGAGGGATCCAGACACAGTGGCTCTGCTGTAGCCAAGATCATTTGGCTCTCGAGCTCAAGTTTTTCTTCCTGGGTCCACTGACGGTTGTCACTTGTAATGGACTCTACATCACTCACTAGAGTCTGCATCGTCGGACGTAAGAGAACATGACGCATTTGGTAGGCAGTAGAGGACACAGTAGAGGACACAGCAGACTCAGCAGGCTCTGAACCAGGCTGCCCAGGAGGGCAGCTGGTACTGCACTGCCTGTAGTCTCGGATTTCTGCTATGACACACCCACAGTGAAACACATTCACAGGGGACTTTTCCAGGGCATCGATCAGAAAAGAGGGTAACTCTTCAGCATCCAAGTATTTGAGCAGATTCTGTCCTACATAAGGCACAGGAAATGGCTCTATAAGGACTCCATCTTTGTCCTTGAGCAGGAGAGAGTAGCCCTGATTTTCTGCGTACAGGTTGACCACTAAACATGGCAACGCCTCTCTCTTCATAAGCTTCTTTAGCAAGTTGACATTGCTTCGAAGGCCCTCTACTTCAGGCTCTTTCTCACATTCCTCCATATAAATTTCATACAGTTTTTCCTGAAGAGATTTTTCCCCACTAGATGCGGGTGTCGCTGGAGGGGGCTGCAGCTCGACAGTCTCGATATTATCATCTGTCTGCTCCAAAGCTTCCTCCAAATTTCGTTCCATCATAACGGCAAGTCAGGGCCCTTAAAAAAACACACACCACGTCAGCAAAGAGGCGTGGAAAATGGCCCTCAGTCGTATTCCTGTCAGTTTGCGACTCCGTTACATCTCTAATTTAATGTGGGCCCCAAAAAACCCCTCTCCCCACCTCAGGCCACGTCGTGAGCCTGTGAGCGTCACGCGGCGTCCACACGGCTGAGGTGACCAATCTAGAGGCCTAGGCCGGAGAGCCTTAGTTCATGGCCGCTGTCCAGTAGACACGGGAAGCACCCTACCTCAGGGGATTAAAAGCCAAAAATAGCCAAAAAACTGAAAAGGATGCTAATTTCTTAAGAGTTTCTGAAAATTCGGTACCTGTCGCTGTTCCTGACACTGCCTGCCCTGAGTCCTCCGCTGTGGAAGCGAACAGGAGCTGTTGAGGACGACCAACGGCCGAGCGCCACTCCGGCACGCCTCAGGTCCGAACCTCAAATGGCGGACGAAGCACAGTCACATGCCAGGGTCACACTTCCTTCCGGTCCGCGTGTGTGCTGTTCATGGGTGGGGGGCCCGGAGAGCTACACTTCCGCTGGAGAGTGGAAGGCTATGGGGAAGGGACCATGCCTTCCATGTAACGATAAAAACTATACATACGGTACCAAAGTGTAAGCAAAGCAGCAAACACGAAGCCTTTTTGCTTAAGACGTCAGTAGATGTCAATTTTGACAGGAACACAACTGCCGGTAACAGCCACGGACAGGTGTGATGTCTTGAAAGAAACTTCAAGAATGACATTTCAGGCCCAGTGAGAGGCAGGCGCTGGTGGCGCATGCCTTTAAGCCCAGCACTGGAGAAGGCAGAGGCGGGTGGGTCTCAACAAGTTCAAGGCCACCCTGGTCTGCACAGTTTCTTCTATCCAGTGCAATCGGGGCTCCACACTAAGATGCAGTCTTAAAAGAAAAAGTAATTGAACCATGTCTGGCGTTTCCTCTCACATTTTTTTCTGGTGCTCATCACAATTTCAGCTCACCCAAGGAATTTTGCTTTGGTAGCCCTTACAACAACAGGGATATATTTAATGCGAACATTGCAAGCTTCATTCTGTTCTGTTGGCTCCCGCGGTTTTTGCAGAGTTGGTCATGTAACATGGTGTTCCTAGTCGCAACCATTTGTTTTGTGTTTCTTTATGCGTCTCAGTTTTTCTTTCTTTTGATGAAGGATTTGGAGTGATATGATTCTTTGACTACTTATAAGCTTTTGTTTTCTAATCCCTTTCTAGTCCTGTTGTTGCCAGTGGATCGGTGTTTAAAAGCTTCTCTAATGCTTCAATTTACATACAGCAATGACACATATTCACACTAAGACATGGAATGACAAGAATCCAAGATAAGTTCCTGAGACTCCTAAAACCTAGATGTCCTTAAAATAAACATTTTCCAAAAATTATACGGTCTTGGGTAATTCATACATAAATACAATATCAACTCCCACTCCCACTGGCTATATTCTATTCCATTGGATTAAAAATCTCTTTTATTAAGATTTTTTGAAACCTTTAAAAATAATTTAAAAAAATAACTAGATATTTTTATGGCCAAAAATCTACCTTGCTATTCATTCCACAGAATATTAGTGCCTACAATATACCGAAAAATTTTAAAAACCTTCAAATATAAAACATTAAGAAAATAAATACTTCACTTTAAATGGGCTGCCAATCTGAACAGAAAATTCTAAAAGGAAGGAGTGCAAATACATAGGAAACATTTTTAAAGTGCTCAACATCCTTTACCATCAGGGAAATATAAATTAATACTACGTTATGATTGCACTTCACCCCAGTCAGAATGGCCAAAATCAATAAAGCAAATGACAGCACATGCTCGCAAGGAAGCAGAGAGAGGGGACACTTATTCGTTGCTGCAGGAGTTCAAACTGGTACAGCCACTATGGAAGTCAATGTGGAGGTTCTAGGGAAACTGAAAATTGTTGCCAGGCATGGTGGTACACATCTTTAATCCCAACACTGGGGAGGCAGAAGCAGGTGGATCTCTGTGAGTTTGAGTCCTTACAGAGGCGAGTTTGAGGCAGAAACAGGCAGATCTCTATGGGTTTGAGGCCAACTACAAAGTGAGTACAAAGACAGCCAGGACTATGACACAGAGGAACCTTGTCTCAAATAACAATAACAAAATAACAACAAAAGGCAAAAATTGATTTACCACAATTTCCAGCTATACCACTCTGGGCAAATACACAAAGGGCTTTGTATCCTTTTATAGAAATATGTGCTGTTCCATGTTCATAAGCCTCTGTTCATAATAGCCAGAAATTGGAAACAGCCCAGGCTTCTATAAAATGATGAATGGATAAATAAAATGTGGGACATTTACAAAATGGAATATTCAGCTGTTAAGAAAAATGAAATTATGAAATTTTCAGGTAAATGGACAAAGCTAGAAACAATACAAATAACCACAGAGGTTAGGTAGCTAGTAAAGGACCATGGGGAAGGGTGGGATCTTCCAAGGAAGAACAAATAGAATATAGTATTATAGAAAGATAAAGAGGAAACTAGAATATGAGGAGTAAATGGAGAGAAGGATGGAAAGGCAGGGTAAGGAGGAAATATGAGGGACAGCTAACAGTAAAAGCCTGTTCTGTGAGATAGAAACCATACTTGACACTGTTAATGAAGCTAAGAGCCTGAGACTAGATAGGTCATAGGCTTAAAGGAAAGCCTACTACTATTATTTTGCTAAAGAAACACATCAATAAAATGACTCCTAACAACATATTGTTATACTCAGTCCTCATCAGAGAGGCTTATTCTTGAAGTAGATGGGAATTAAGACAGAGACCCACATGTAGACACACTTTTCTGTTTGAGTTGCCATCCAGACATGGAACAACCAGAATGAGCATAATGGAGATGAGGTAACTAGTGCATGGAAGGATGTAGATTTAAAAATACAGATTAAGGGGTCAGAGGGGTGGCTGAGTGGTTAAGAGCACTGGTTGCTCTTCCAGAGGACCCTGGTTTAATTCCAGCACCCACATGGCAGTTCATAAATGTCTGTAACTCCAGTTATGGGGGATCAGACACCTTTACACCAATACACATAAAGAAGTTAAATTGTTTTTAAAATTTTACAGGTTAATTGAAGTTATAAGAGCTAGTTAGAAACAAGCCAAAGCTAAGGCCTAGCTTTCATAATTAATAAGTCTCCGTGTCTTTTCTTTTTGTATACTGCTGGCCCAAAAAGAAGAAGCTCATCTACATAAAGTGCAACGTTGGACCTACACTTCAAGTTACAGTGAATAACACTTTCCATGTTCATAATAATGCTTTAGATTATCTTTAGAATTTTGAGTCCTTTGTAATAACTTCTTTTGCATCATGGTCATGAAAATGCCCGAACCAGTTGTAAGAGCATTGCTCTAAGCCCTGAGGGCATTAGTTAGTATCTTTTGAGGTGGGAGAAAGATGGATGTCCCAATGTTGCAGAGGAAACTTGGGTGGCTGTCCAGACATCCAGCTGTTTCTGTCATTTCTATAGTTTTGGAAGTTGTTTGTTCTGGGTCTCCCGGTGTCTCTACCTTTCCTCTTCCCAGAGTCTGCTCTATTCTGGTAAGTCCTTCCTGCCTAGTTATTGGCCATTCAGGCCTTTATTATACCAATCACAGCAACACATCTTCACACAGTGTACAAATATTCTGCAACACCCACAATTGAATAATGTGTATAGAGTGAGAACTTTGGCACACTCTGCCCTAACATAAGAACTAATGAACAGGGAAAGTAACATTTCTTCATCATGCAAACTCTAGAAACTGAGAAGGCAATGGATTGAATTGGAGTGAGATCTGTGGCAGGAAACAGGCTAGGAAGTGATTACAATATCTAGTGGCAAGTGATGAGGTCAGAATTAGATGTAATGTTAAGGAATCGTTCCCCAGGCTGATTGAACAGGACTTGGAAACTGATTATCAAAGTTGAAAGCAAGAACAGAATGAAGTTTGACATGAAGTTGATAACTTAAGTTGGCTTCTTGGGTTGTCACATATGAGGCCAAGATTGTGAGTGGTTAGAGCACAATGACATCTATTAGACTTCCCTCGGAAAAAGTGCTGCTATTATTTGTTCCCTACTAGTTATCCAGAGCATAGCACAATGACTTCCATATGAGCAAAATCCTATGAGAAAAAGAATCATGACCCTCAAAGGCATCAACCTCCTAATCCTCAAAATCTGTGAATATATAAACTTCTGCCTTAGTTAAGGCTACTATTTCTGTGATGAAATACCATGACCAGTGATATCCCTGGAAGACCTGCTCTTTTCTGAGGGGAAAGTGGAAGAATTGATTTAGGGGAAATGGGAGTGGTGGGGGTTGCGGAGGTACTGGGGCTGGGAGGAATGGAGGGAGGGCAAACTGGTTGAGATGTATTAAAAACAACAACAACAACAAAAAATAAGTATTTTTTAAAAAGGAAAGAAAGAAATACCATGACCAAAAGAAGACTGTGGAGGAAAGGGTTTATGTGACTTACACTTCCAAATCACTGTTTATCACTGAAGGAAGTCAGGACAGGAACTAAATAAAGCAGGGCAGGAATCTGGAGTCAGGTGCTGATGCAGAAACCATGGAGGAGTGCTGCTTACTGACTTACTCCTCATAACTTGCTAAGTCTGCTTTCTTAAGCAACCCAAGACCACCAGTCCAGGGATGACACTATCCACAATAGGCAGTACCATACCCTATCAATCACTAAGTAAGAAAATGACTTACAGGTTTGCCTACAGCCTGACCTTATGGAGGCATTCTCTTAATTGAGGTTCCCTCCTCTCAGATGACTTTAGTTTGTATCAAGTTAGTCTCTCAGATGACTTTAGTTTGTATCAAGTTAGCATAAAACTATCCAGAACACCTTCCAATGGGAAAAAGACTTCTTAGCCAAGAGTAAGTATGAGGCTTGAAATGAGGATTGTCTTAGTTAGGCTTCTAGTGCTGTGATAAAAA